AATGTATTTTATTGATGCTGATGCATGGTACAGTTATTAACTTACTTATATCTGCCACTTTCTAAGAAAAATTTCATATTGACTTCCTCTTTTCCTCTTTCTAATTGAATCTCTGTATATTTATGATTTATGCCCAGCTCGGTCTAGGCCACACCAACCACGTTCGAGAACCAACCCTGGTAACAGGTCTTCAAGGGAAAAATGTTCGGCAGATCTCGGCCGGCCGTTGCCACAGTGCTGCGTGGACAGCACCACCTGTCCCACCAAGAGCACCAGGTGAGGAAGGAAATCTTTACGCTCTTGCAGCTTCTCTTTCAGCAGTACCCCATGGCACTGTCTGCTTGCCAGTTCCAAACTGTATCCAGCATCGTTGTGAAACCATCAAGCCTTCTGCCACACAAAGCATTATTTGTGCTACCAGCACTGGAAGTGTTTTCATAGCAGGCATTTGTCCTGCTGACATCAGTATGAACCAGATCCTCTCTGCACCCCCCAAAAGAGAATACATATTACTTATGCAAGCAAAAATGTATAATTTTAGCAGCAACTAAGTTCTTTTTTTTTTTTTGAGGTGGAGTCTCGCTCTGTCACCTAGGCTGGAGTACAGTGGTGTGATCTCAGCTCACTGCAACCTCCGCCTCCCAGGTTCAAGTGATCATACATCATTCTGTTATTACTTAACTTTCCAAGAATTCATTTCCTTTCCATAAGTGGAATCCAACGATGTGTTTAGTCATTAAGACTCATCTGCTAGATTTGGAATGTCCTTATTGCCGGTTAGTTTTTAGCAGTCTGAACTGTGAGGACTGATATGATAGAGAAAATCAGCATTTATTTTATTACTGGGGGCTGGGTGTGGTGGCTCACACCTGTAATCCCAGCACTTTGGGAGTCCGAGGCAGGTGGATCACAAGGTCAGGAGTTCAAGACCAACCTGGCCAAGATGGTGAATGCCCGTCTCTACTAAAAATTAAAAAATTAGCCGAGTGTGGTGGTGGGAGCCTGTAATCCCAGCTACTTGGGAGGCTGAGGCAGAAAATTGCTTGAACCGGGGAGGCAGAGGTTGCAGTGAGCTGAAATTGTGCCA